AATTCATAGGTTTCTTGAGGAACCTGAAGAAATAATATCAAATCCGAAGACACTGAAGGCCGAATTTTCAGTATTTGAGGCAACCAATAAAAGAACAAAGAATTTAGATTTATTATTTGATGCCCTGAAAATGATAAAACCAAGTTCAGTAGCCAGTGAGAGGGTATTTTCTATTTCAGGCAATTTTGTATCTAGAATAAGAACAAGATTAAGTAATCGTTTAGTGGACATTTTATGTTTTTTGAAATCATATTTCCTGAGGAAAAATTCTAAATGAAATAAAAATTTATAATTTCTATTTTGTACAGATTTTAGTTATTTTATTTTTTTATTTGGTTCTGTATGGAGCATATTTTATTTTGTTATATTTTTGTAGTTCCATAAATATTAAATAAACTAAAATTTTTAAAATAAGTATAAATTCTTTTACTGTTTTAATTATATTTTGTTTTTTTGTAAAAATTCGAAAACCTGTTTTTTGGAAATACTGGAATTCGAACAATACTGGAATTCAAAAACCAGTTTTTGTATAAACCCTACAGAACAACAATTAGTGTAATTAAACAGCACTGGCCCATTCCAAAACATGTCACATATGCTATGCTACAAAAGAGAATGTTGCAATAAAAAATTAGTCTTCAAGATATAAGTTATTACATACTTTTAAACACTAATAAATTTCTAATTATAAATATTCAAATATTTCTGATAATTGTAACCAATGGATTCAGAAAATAGAGTATTATTTTTTGTTTTCATTTTCCTAATTAATTTAATTTGCTCAATTTTACATTAAACTTAAGTGAACAATTTAGAAATATCAAATAAATGCATCTTAATGCATAAGCACATCTATATGAAGTGACATTCCTCTCAGTACATATCCCTGTTATGTAAGCATGTGTGTGCTTTTTAGTGTAGTATTTATGGCATCCTATTGTAAATTAAGGTTATATGAGTTCTTTAACAAATAATAATGCAACTTTATATACAGTTCTTCTATACATAAGAATTGTTGTATATAACTATCCCTTGGAAAACAGACTTTATTGGGAAACAACACTTGCTCAGCGAGTCAATAAATTTTATAGAGCCCTAAAATTCATTAATGTCTATAAAATACTCTGTCACCATTCTCTATCCTGAGGCAAATAAATACAGCCTACTACCTTCCACGGTTTCTTTAAGACTGGTTATAATATTGCCTTGCCATCTATGCCAATACCTTCCAAGTGTCTCTTCCCATCAGGTTTTCAGACCAAAACTTTGTATACATTTCTCATCTCGCCATGTGTGCTTTATGTCCTGTCCATCTCATCCTCCCTTGATTTGATCATCCTCATTACTAATTGGTGAAGAGTGCAAATTTACTTTGTAGTGGAAAACATTACGTAAACTCTGTTCCTTTAAATATACAGCAATAAGACACTCCAGCTAAATTATATAGTGTAAAAACAAATAATGGAAGAAGCTGAATAAGTGCTCGTTCCATTACTTGGGGCAGCACGGTTTGAAAATCATGAACATATTTTGAGTAATACAAGCAGCATACCTTCTTCAGTGACACCACAGCGTCTAGACTCAGACCAGCCAAGTTCTTGGCGAGGGACTGATTGACAGTACTCGTTGGCGTGCTGGTATTCTGCCGGTTCTGTTGAAAACCAAGGGAACAAGCACACAACATTTACCCTCATACAAGTTTTCTTTCCCCTTATAACCCAAGCTTTACATTCCCATTTACAAAGAGCATTACAACACATTAGTCACTGTAACTTTCTCAGCCCAACTCCCTCTTCTATACGCAATCATCCCTCCTGCAGGACTTGCATACCCACAACACATTAGTCACTGTAACTTGCTCAGCCCAACTCCCTCTTCTATACGCGATCATCCCTCCTGCAGGACTTGCATACCAGTCAGCCAACTTTGTACAGTGATGTGGCGATAACTAACATCATAGATTCTCACTCAATAAAATGCTGCCCTCCACATGTACATAATATTAAAATAACAGTCAATGTAACTATGGTAACATAAAATCATATAATCTACAATGTTGATAAAATGTCAAGAGAAATTAATAAACATGTGAATGTGCAATCCTGTAACATGTCAATACAGAGACAATTTAGAATAGCTTTTCCACCTATTTCCTAGATCAGTATGTTAAACTCTGCATAAGCTCAATGCTATATAATCTGAGCTAATAACAGTATTGTCCAATAACGCAAAACAAATAAAGATTTATGTATCCGCAAAGTATAGTTACTAAAACTTGGAAGTAATTTATTGAGTTGGATATACAGTGATCTGTATTTTAACAAATGTGTATTACATTACTACAAAGTATAGTTACTAAAACTTGGAAGCAAATTATTGAGTTGGATATACAGTGATCATTATTTTAACAAATGTGTATTACATTACTTCACTTTTACCGTTTGTTACCGAGATGGAAAACGAAGGAGCATAAAGCAGGAAGAAGAGACTGCATGCCTCTGCCACACAAAATTTTTTGACAGTCAATTATTGTCCACATCACTGTCCAGATCCACAAGATACAAGTATACAACTAGGACAGCATAACAACATAATTTTGAACACTCTCATTAGTTCTATGTCACCCTCATGCCAAGCATTAATTCTGTATGAAGAACATATATTGGCTACAGGCACTATGAAGAAATTTATTAAAATATAGATATAAGCATAAATAATTTACCATGTATGTTGCTAGTTTTGACTCTTGTGGCACACCATTTGCTTGAGAGTATGATAAAAATATAGGGTCCATTCTGTCTTCACAACCAGTATCTGAAAACAAAACAACTTTTATAATAGAAGGAACTAACACAATATAAAAACATTCTCGTGAAACCAAATTACCAATTCACATTCTTGGGTTGAGCTGCCATTCTACTATATCAGTGGCTGCACTCCTAATAACATCTGTTAGGGGGAAAACTCAATGGCAAGATTTTATGTTGAACAGCTTGAAAGCAACATGAGACCATTAATGGTTACTAATAGGAGATTAATGCTTAGCGTAATATGGAAAATATAGTTATTTAAGAATGAATCAAATACATATGCAAAATCTTTTGCTGTTTATCTTCTGAAGAATACTGTATAATAGTAATTTATGTATTCTAATAAAAATCAAATGACTTACTACCAGCAGTACCATAACATAACAGAAATCAAAATAAAGTGCTTGCTGCAGAATAGAATAGAACAGTACAGAATATATTAACCATACATCATACAACACTATTCACGATTGACTGCCTACACTGAAACATACGGATTTGTTTAAACTAATTTACCCTATAATTAGTATAAACGTAATATAAAACTACTGTAGTGCAGAACATATATGACCTAATAGTTGTATCCAGCACATACAGAAGAAATTTCGAAATTAATGTTGTCTTCCCTTAACCTGACATGATGCCAGAGCTGTTTGTTGTACATGAAAAATTATAAGAATTAATTCCTTTCAACGAAAATATTCAATTTTATGGCTCCAGCTGATAGTAATTAGTATTAACTGGTCTATAACCTATAAAGCAGATAATTTAGTTTTATATCTTACATGATGGCTCTTCAGGCTTAACTCTATTCCCAGAGTAAGCGAGACTTCCAGGAAAAATTACGTTGCTGATACCATGATTCCTAGACAGAAGCAAAGCATCATCCCCGGAATAACATGTCCCCATGTTTGAGACTGTTAAACCCGAACTCAAGTAACTTCCCCTGCTGTTCGCAGGTACAGCTGGTTTTCTCACACCAGCAGATATATTGTCCATGACTCTGTTTACAAACTTTTCACATGAAAAGATAGAAGCAATTCAAACAGTACATGGATTTGAAATATCATTTGCTACAACCAACTGTCCGATCTTGAAGCATTTTTATGAAATATTGATGCAAAATTTCAACTCCATCACATACATCCCCAAACAAAACCTTCCCCACTATTCCGCTTTCTTATTCAGAAATGTGCGTGCGCAGCGTGACACCAAAAAAAAGAAACAAACAATCGCAGACCGTATCAATGAGGCGCAAATTACAATTGAGAGAGCTGAACTGTACCACCAACAGATTTTTGCGCTGTTGTACTTGTATGCATAACTTGATTTAGAAAAATTATGCTTCCCTTCAACTTACTGAGAATAATTACCACACCGATAATCAACAATACAAACTACTATTTTAAAACAAACATAGATGGCAGCAAATACAGTTAGCATACAATTTTCAGCGCCTTGGACACATGCTGCCATCTAACATAACTAGTTTCGGTGATATTACACAAATACATACAAGATGGCGCTGTGATACTGACGATACACATCAGGAGAAACAATAAATATATCCAGTCACACCCAAGGCTGTATACTCCCAAAACGTCAACTGCTGGTTCCCACGTTCAATTGTCCTTCAGCACACCTATACTGACACACCCTCATTTTTATTCCGACTTTTACAACCCATATCCTTCTTGGCCTTTCTTTAAGGCCCTTTCGGAAAGAGAGGGCTGCATACAGTGTTTTTGGTCTAGCATCCATTCAATCTATATTTGAGAATATGCAATTCCTGTTTACATGACAACATGATTACAGATTTAAAGGCAAATCACTACTTTCCTGCTATACTGATAATTTTTCAAACCAAATTACAATGGTTCATAGTTTTCAACAAAACTCATTAAATGCACATTCAACAGAATACTTCAACGCTAGAAAATAAGATGAGGAGAGAGGCCGGTTTCAGTTTATTTTGAGAATAAAAACCTAACATCATTGTGATATCCAATGACACGCCCCTTCACAATTCCTTGGAATGTGACTGGGGAGTGTACCATAGATAACATCCGACAACGTTACTTTTAAAATATGTATGTACCGGAAGACCGCCACGGTGGTCTAGCGGTTAGAACGCTGGCCTTGTAATCCTGGGGTCTCGGGTTCGATTCCCGGCGGTGCCCGAATTTATAACTTGTGTTGGGCAAGGTCGTGGTCTAGGCAACACGGAGTTTTCCTCCGTGGCATCCCAACAATTACTCCATTCACACACAGAAGAAGGCAATGGCAAACCACTTCTGGATCATCTGCCAAGAACGTATATGAACAGGTCCCAGTCCGAGAAAAGGATGGAAGGATCCTGTTCATATGGACCTGTCGTCAGACAGAACACTACAAATAAATAAATATAAATATGTACCGGAAAAGCGCGATGCATTATCGCTGTCATCCTACGACAATTACAGATCAATATGATTTGTAGGCAATAAATACTCACTACAATTCCGTGTTTGTAGTCCCTATTCCTATGCCAACATGGCGATCATTTCCAGAGAACACTAGCCACAGAACCGACCTCTTCTAGCTCACAGAAGCATAAATGACATTCCCCGCTCGGTAAATCACGTGGTGAACATCGTCACGTCCTGTAACTAACGCAATGAACAAAACTGGTATTTTCACCACCAATTAAACAGCTGATGCGCTGTCTGCTGTGATAACATTTTCGTATTGTTCTCTAAGTAATCAGTTTCCGATTAATAAAAAAAGAAGCAATAAGGAAAGAAAACAAATGCACATGCATTTTGGTGAGAACTGTATATAAATTAGACTCCAATTCATTAGGTTCTTCTGCTAATTAAGAGGTTAAGTTGCAAGCAGTTAATGCATACATTTTATGTTGGAGAGATTATTAATCTACTGCTACGCTTACACGTTTATACTGATTGTTGCATAGTATGGCCCTCTATGTGTATATTATGGTATTTGTTTATTTTAGCTAGAAGAATTCAAAATTCGATGTAAACCGTATTTCGGTACGGATTACACCTCTCCAATTTTGGAATGGTGTGAAAGTTTGTCGGTTTGTAAAGGAAAGAAGGAGTAACAAGAGGCTGGACAGTATTTTAGAATGAAAAGTTTCATAATCACCAGCTGTTATTAGGGCGTTCACATCCGGGAGGATCGCGACGAGCTGGTTATGTAGCACGCATGGGAACACAGAAACCCACAAATCTACAAGAATTCAGTCCGAATCACGTGGAGAATAGATTAATTGGAAAAAAAGATGGGCTTAAATAGAAGGACAACATCAAAATATCTAGAAACAATATACGAAGGTGTGGACTGGGACTAGAGGAGAGCTCTTGTACGAATACACGGTTATTACCAGCTTCTCCAGAAGAACTCTGCCCCGCGTATTTGGTTATGTCCCGACACTGCTTGCAAGAAATTAGTAAGCTTGTGCAGATCCCTAGTTTGCTGATGGCTTTGTTTCCTGACCGCTCGTTGCCTGCAGCTTGACTGACAGACGGAAGGAAATGCAGGCAGCCAGGTCGTCCCCAGTAGCAGCTGACAAAGCCTCTTGTGTTAGCACAGTCATTCCCCCAGTGGGGTTGGCCGCCACCTCACACACTGCTCCCGGATAAAATCAATTCCCCCCCCCCCCCAAAAAAAAAAAAAAACATCGCAAACACCAGTGTCGAACTACCTGCAAGAGCTGTAATATTCCTTCTGCTACCGGTTGTTTTGTATAACGGATACTGCCTGTCCTCATAAACTGTTTCCGTGAGGTTTGTCCTCACATTAAACTTCCACATTTATCGGTATTGCACTCGCATCTTAAGAGGTTTCCCCGCCAAAATTTTGTATGCATATCTTGATTAATCCTTACACCTGTTCTACAACCTATTGTCATCTGGGACTCAGGTGATTTCACTACCCCAAATTGCTCACTTCCTTTCAACCCTAAAAACTTACCCGAACGTTGTGGTCACGTGGTTAACACTACTGCTTCGTATTCGGCAGGTCCCGGGTTCAGTTTCGGCTCGGAGACCGGCGAACGGAGCTCGATTCCCGTCAGGGGCGGGGTTTTCTCTCTTTGCCAATGCTTCTGGACCGGCTGTGACGTCTTCCCAGCCTCCTGAATTGTTTCTTTACTGCTAAATCATCTACCTTCATCTAGAGCTTCGTGGTCAGGAGCTCAGTTAAAGAAATAGACACGTATTCATGACTTTGCACTTCATTAAGTAATACAGAATGCTTAATTCAGTGCGTGACACTTAATTACGCACACAGACATTACCATTATCTTTTGGTGTTTACAGATGTAACAATTCCTGAATAATTACACGTAATTTCATAATCGATTTTTATCTTAACTTTAACACGAACTACAATCTTATTTTCTTTTGTTATTTCCAGTTACAAATTAGTTATTAGACTATTTATGTTATGACTATTCCAAATGTTCATATACTTACTTCTCAGTCAACATTGTACAAATACTTGACATCGGCCAATCAGATTTAATCATCCCTAAATCCCTTGGGGCCTTCCTATTAGTACATTTTGGAGTAGAATTAAAATGAATTAGACACAAAAACACCGGTTCAGTCAAGCAAGAATATAAAATGTATAAGAACACAGAAGTCTATGGCCTGTTTGTAGACATCAACCAGGCAATTTCTTTGAGGGACTGAGGAAAACCAAGAACGTTATTAGATAGCAGGTACCTTGTCTGAGGTTCGAACGGGATTCTTTACGAACGCAAATTGTGTTGTTGTATCAGCTAAGCTGTTCTTAAGACTGGTGGAATAGTAGTTTTAAGTAGGTGAGAGTTCTAAATGTACGTACATGTAAACTTTCAGACTCAATTTATCAGTAAGAAATCAGTTTTTTGTGGATAGTTTCGCGGAGCAAAAACCTACAGTTATGGAGATGACATAAAATAAATCTTCATGATATTTTCCTATATTCTTTTCCTCGTCCTTAACCTTAGTCCGTTTCAGTAGCGTTCGTATCCACACCAGAACAGCTGAATCGATTTCTGTGGAATTTGATATTGGAGAGTTTTACTAAAACTTTGTTGACACATTCCAGTTTTGGTTCAGTGGCAAACGAGTGGGGAATCGGCACCCGAAATATTTTCCGCGCGGGAAATTCCTCTACCATTCACAAAGGTCAAGTATCGGTTAATACATCAGAATTGTTAAAATACGCGTACATTTACTAATTTATCTTCGTGATTCTCGCAAGTGCGAATTTGTTTAACTCTGCAATTCCCCAAGAGGCTCGGGGAGATCTGTCCAATGTACGGCGTTCTCAGAATCACCGACCTCGCGTTATATGTTCCGTACAAACCTCTTTAGAATTTTTCGTTCGTACGCACTCTGTATTGTAGGGGGTTCAGAATAATATTTTACAATTACACACCATTCTGGACAGCGTCCACTCTCTGAAGTGCATTTGGCACTTCTACATACAATATTTCGGAATCTGTCTACTGGAGCTTTATAATTTTACTATTCACCAAATATTATTGGGATTACAAATAAAAAGAATTTGAATAGACGGAGTATGCAGCATGCATTGGAGAGATATTAAATAAGGACAAAATTTTCGCCGGAAAATAAGATTGTAAACACTTACTTGAGAGGCACAGCTGTAGACGGTGAGATAATATTAAAACGAATCTTAAAGAAACATGGTGTAACAAAGTGGGATTGATTCAACTGGCTAAGAACAAGGACCAGTGAAGGTCTCACATGAACACGGTAATACATCTTTGGTTTCCATAAAACAGGTTTCTTTTTTGATAAACTGAGCTAATATTAACTTCTAAAGAAGGATTCTGCTCCGTGGAGTAAGTGGTTTAACCCTTCGTAAAAATTAATTATTTTATTCCGTATAATTTAGTGGTTCGGAGTCTTAATTAAAGCCGGCAGTTACAGAATACATAAGCCACCCGTACACTATCAATTACGAACTAAAACAAAAATAAGCCGAGAGATTCGTTTTTTTTATACAATCATGACAGATAAAGATGGTGGAATAATAAAAAATAATCCAACTTTTTAATTCAATATTATAATCCCGATCCTGGAGCTCGTATTATAAATTTGTGATATTAATTCCAAGCATTATGCTATGCAGGTCACACTTCTTTTAATCTTCCTAAATTAGGCTCATTAATAATGGCATAACACACGACCCCAACGGCCACAACAATATTTCACCTGCCACCTCTTAACATTGCAGCATTTGTCTCTTCTGTGCACAGAAATCTGACTAGTAATTTTACAAAGAACACGTCAGCGTGTTACCTCACAAAACAGAGCGTAAGAATACGTCTGAATAATGAAGATTATTGCTTACCTTTCGCGAATTAATATTACCCTTGCTTTTA